GCCAGCCACAGCTGGGTTTTATAACACACTCAAAACACGATCATCAGGGAAAAAAAACCCAGTTGTTAATAATGATCACGATTTTCCACTAGCAAAAAATCACACTGGAAGTGCAACTGTCACACATTTTTAGGCACTGTGAGTGAATGGGGCAAGATATTGCAGTAGGAGAGCCCTCCTTAGCAGGCATGGCACCAGCCCTGCTCTGTCTGTTTTGGCAACTCCTGGTTGCTCCTTCCTCCCCTCAACCTCTGCAGCAAGTTTCAGGAATGGATTCATGGGACACTGGAGAGAGTCGGCTGCTTTAGAAAGGATTTGCACAGCAGTGTCTGCCCCTGCCCCGTGCATCCAGCCTGAGTCCTGGCACATCTGCACATCCCACACCACACTGCAGCCCACAGCTGCTTCCCTCCCGACCCACTGCACATCCCACACCACACTGCAGCCCACAGCCGCTTCCCTCCCGACCCACTGCACATCCCACTCTGAGGCCAGGCACCGTGCTGCCTGGACTGTCCTCCCATCCCCTGGGTGAGGGCTAGCCACATTTTGGCTGGAAGCACAGCCACCCCCAGCAGCCACCCTCCACCCCTGCCCCACACCAGCTCCCCTGGCAGTGTGTTGGTGCTGAGGCCAGAGCCCTGGCCACGAGCTGTGCCAAGGCTGGGCACCACAGGCATGGTGGCCCCTCGCCCCTCGCAGACCCTTTGCACTCACGCACTTTCTGGATTTTCTTGATCTGGTCAGAGAGCGTGTCCAACAGGCGCGTTTTCAGGAAGTCCGTCACTTTGGCCACTCGGCCATCAATGTAGTAACTGGAAGGAAAATGAGAAGACAAGGATCAGACAGCTGGGAGTAGCTCTGCCCCAAACCACGTCCTCCCATCCCACTGCTGCCCCGTGCCAAGAAAACTCCTCTGCTCCAGGGGAGTCCCTGTGTGCACCCTGCCCTGCCCTGGCTCTGCAGACACAGTACCAGTGTCTGGCAGATGCTTTCAGTCTCCAAAACAGAGCATGAGGTGGATCCTGAACGCTGAGCATCCTGCTCTGCAGAAACCATGGAGAGTTTTGCACTTGCTTAACTATTGCTGGTGAAATACAGGGAGCAGAACACAAAAGGCTGGGAGCAAAATGCCACCTGCAAAGCCTTTGAAGTACC